TAAAGTTTAATTCTTGTTTTGTGATTTGTACGTGTGGGTTTGAATAAACTTGAACTAAAGGCTGTATCTCTTCTTTAAACATATTTGAGGGGAATATTCCTGAGAGATTCTATAATTTTGTGTCTTTTTATGATAAAACTGGCACTGTTGATTTTTTTTTTTTAATCTTCACTGATTAAAAAAAAATACATTTTTTTTTAATCCATAAAATGTTTTTGAAAATCATTTCCACCCTCCGTCCCAGACCCATCCCGGTCTGCCCACCTGCTGGGATCAGGGTTCAGTTGAGCAAGCAAGGCCAGGGTCCGGGCATTGGCCTTCTGCGAGCCAGTAGCTCGTATGATCCTCCGTGGTGACCAACGGAGCTTGGAGCCCGCAGAGCACGCAAGGCCGGCCCAGAGCCCGAGTCCTGAGTCAGCAGCACAGAGGATCTTCCGCGGTGACCAGCAGAGCTCGGCGCCGTGGAGATTTTGTCCTGCATGGGCTGAGGGGGCTCGGAGGCTCCGGTGGAGAGGACCGGGGGGAACGGCGGAGTTCCATCTAGCTCGCTCTGAATTTTGTCGGCCACCAAGCACAAAAAAAACGCCTGCACTTCAGCATTAGACTACGGTGTTGTTTTTAAAATCTTTAAAATAGGTCCAATTGCTCCTCGAGTTCGAACACTGATAATTGCACATGGCGGATCGAATGTTTGGAAAAACTCTCAAACCCCTCTAGTGACTCAGCCCCCTGACCAATCAGTAACCGACAGTGTTCTAGGTCAGGTTTGGTGCCAACTCGGCCCGCTTGGTACAACAGAGAAGAAGGGACCAAAAAAGGTGCATGTTTCACGAAAAAGTGATAGCAGAAAAGGGCTCGGAAACATACTGAAGAGAGTCTAGTCATGCTGAAGAGGAGCTATGGAAAAGGCCCATAAGAAGATTCATTGTGAAGTGAATTCTAGAACCCAGCTGAGCTTTTAAGGTAGTTTTTAACGGTGCATTGTTGAGATGGTTCAGTATGTATCTGAGAGCCGAACAGCTTACAGATCTGGAATCTCTTTCTGTAGAGTTACAATAATCCTGCAGCTGCTCCATAATGATGACAGATGACTACAGTTATTATTAAAATCTGTTTGTTGCCTTTAAAGCCAAAGCCAAGTAACATGTTGCCGACGGTTTTGCACTGTCAGCAATGACAGGTTTATTCAGGGTCACTGTGGCAGCCTGACAGAGGAATGACAAGTGTTTCTGTGTGAGACTCGTGCAGCCAGTGGTGGATTGGTAAGGATTTAATGTAGCTTCAAAAGATCCAGTAATGTTGACATTCTAGCTTCTTTTACACAGGCTGAATTATCACCTCCTCCCTACGCTGTGTTAGTGTGTTATGCAGTACAGACTCTCCCGTGAGCAAGACATGACTTGGAAAACAGACGCTGTTGTCACAAGACTGCATAACAAATCAAACATTCACATACAGTATTAAGATTCAGAGTTGTTCCACCCCAAGCCTCTTGGTCCCTAACCAGGTCAGAGGGCAGATCAGGATTAACCTCCCTTTGACGACACTCAGGCCCTGTACACACGTAGCCTGGTGTTTGAAAAAACGAATATCCGCGCAAAAAAATATCGCCGTACATACATGTTCGGATAGAGAAAATGATCGTCTACATGAACCCGGTGATGTTCACCACAGAGCGTTGTAAAGAATATGCCCAACCCATAGGAGGCAGTGTAGTGCAAAGGTGAAACGTATATCAGCCAATCACAACCCTTCAAAGCAACCACAACTTCCTGTTAGTATTGAATCATGGCGCCTGGAGGTTCGTTTGTGTGGACAGACCGCGAGGTTGAACTACTATTAAATAC